TATATATATACACATATGTGTATATACATATATTTAATGTGTATTGAGTTTTCTAGACATCTGTTAAATAATGTGTTTATGTATGTTTAGAAGCCCGGAAAGCCACATCCCCATCAGCCAAAGAACCCGGAATACCATGTAGTTTGTTCGCCCTGAAACCTCGAACCGAAAGAAAGCGCAACCCTCGAACCAAAACCGAAATCCTTAAACCCGAAATCTTAAATCCTCATCCCTAAACTCTAAACCCTAAACCAGAATCCTTAAACCCAGAAATCTTACGCCCTCATCCCTAAACCCTCAACCAGAATCCTTCAACCCCGAAATCTTAAACCCTCATCCCCAAACCCTAAACCCTAAACCCTAAACCCTAAACCCTAAACCAGAATCCTGAAACCCCGGAATCTTAAACCCTCATCCCTGACCCTCAAACTCCTGCCTTGGGGGTCGAGTTGTGCATGTGGGATAGGCCGCACGCTGCATCTAAGGCGACCCACAGCCTAGGAGGCTTTCGCTGCCGAGGAAATTTACTGCGAGGCTTCAGGGCTTATAACGCTTCGGTTTTCGGGTAGGGCTGAGGGCTGAAGGGTTTAGGGATGTTGGTTTTTCTCCGGTAAGTTCTGAAGGGTTTAGGGATTCGGGTTCAGGGATTTCCCTCTAGGGTCCACATCAGAAAGGGCATTTAAGATACTACCAGGATCCCAGGGGTGCAGGGCTACTATATATCACTGGTGAAGTCTCGTTGCGATCAGGGTTACAATGATACAGAGGTAACGATAAGGGTTGAGGGTTTCGGGGATAGGGGGTTCAGACTCGTAAGAACCTATAGCTTCTCGTAGAGCTTTCAAGCCTCTGCTTTGTAAAGCCTTCATTATCGCACAAGGCACTCTATCTGCGTACACAGAATCGTATAGTCTTTTTGTAATACTGGTAGAACATACCCCAGCACCCTAGTCTTATCACTAGAGCCCCTCCAGACCTTTACCAGATCTTTTCTCTGCGTTTCCGAGTTCCGAGTCTGCAGCACACCTGCAATGTCAGACCCCCTACCCTCCAACCAAAGCTCATGGTCTGCCTCCATGACCTTCACCGAGGATCCACACACGAGTCTTTGATGTGGGGAGAGCAGCAGAAGTCATGAAAGCTACACTCCGTCAAGCCTACCGTGATCACACTACCGTCAAGAAGAGCGGACACCCAAGCCCCGGGACCATCGAGAAGGAACCCTACGGGCGTAGGCCCCGAATCCCATGCCCACGCAGCCCGAAAAGAGCAGCTCTCCTTTTGAGGGCCCTGTCGGAGCTTCGGGATCCCTGCAAGGCACACGTCTTAGTCATCGTAGGCCCATGGGAAAACCCAAGGGGAAGAGAACAAAAAAAGAGAAAGCCCGTGCCTCCTGGGACTAGCGAGAGAAAGAAGGGAAGCAAGGCTGAAGCAAGCGGCGCAAAGCATCGAAGCCTCGAAAAATTCTCCGAAGAGCTACCATGCGTTGCCCAAAAAAGATTCCATCTCTTATAACGTATTTAAGACCTCTTATACTAGCTACCTGCCCTTCCTGGATCATGTCCCTTCTCTTCTTCCTACTACTCCCTACTCGGAGTAGTCCCTCTTTTTGCCAGCTGTCGTGCACACGCACCGGGGTATGGTAATGTAGGGGCCTTAATAATTAGAATAGGGTTCTGGGGCTCCTTATCATTAAGTACAGTATAATATACCCGAAACCCTATTCGAATTTTAAGGCCCCTATAGTAGGTAGAGCCTGCTGGAGCAGGCCGAATTGGAGATGGGAGTTGAAAAAAGCAGCGGCATGCTCGGAGCAGCTTCCGTGGGCTTCCTGCAACACGATCTGAGACCTCAAATCTAAAACCTTGGCATCACGGTTGCTGCAACCACTGCTCATATTGCTCATGTTGCTCGTGTTGCTCATAGTAGGAGTAGTAGTAGTATTAGTAGTTGTAGTAGTAGTAGTAGCAGCAGCAGCACAAGAGGAGGAGTGGAAGTAGTTACTACAACTTCCACAACTACTACCACTACCGCTACCACAACTACTACTACTACTACTACTACTACTACTACTACCTTTCCTTCTGATCTTCCACCGCGACCACCGCAGGCTACTCGGTGTGGGCTCGGGGCTTAGGCCTTTCGAAACCTGACTCACTGATTTCAGACTTATGCTGTAGGGCTTTACAACTTGTACGGCTTCGAGTTCAAAGCTTCGGGGTGTCTGGAGCTTTAGGACATCAGGATGTTCATGCCTTTTGTAGGCCATTCGGTGCCTGGGAGATTAGATGAAGCTGCTAAGCGCGTACCCCCGCACCAACTCCCGCACAAAAGCCACCAGCAGTTCGCGGCGGAGTCACAGATCCATCGGCCCATGGCCCCTTTTGGGCTCAAAGGAGCGGCGTCTACACTTTGAGTGACAGGCACGCTCCGAGCTCCCTGTACTGGGGGTTTAGGGCATAGGCCTTAGGATACAGACTGTACGGGCGTGGGGCCTCAGATTTTTGGGATTCAGGGATTGAAATGTTGAGGCTTTCGCTTCTGGCCCAAGTCAAGTCCCGATCCCAGGCCTCGGCTACAGCCTGGGGGCTTCGGAATCGGTCTGGCCGTACTGTAAGGCCACCGACCGGCCCCTGAAGAGGCGCTGCGCCAGGTACACGCAACCAATCGGCCCGCCGAGCCTCGGCCAGGGCAGCACGACAAAGAAAGCGGAACCCTACCCCCTATACCAGAATATACTATGGTATACTATAATATACTATAGTCTACTATAATATAGTATGCTATACTATATTATAGTATAGTATACTATAATCTAGCCCCGCCAAAACCCTAAACCGTGCCCCAATCTTGAAGAGCACTCAAACTCCTAAACTCTCGACCCTGAAGCCGAACTCTCCAAGATAGACGAATCTATGTCGTGTGGATATATATATATATATATGTGTATATAAGTATATATAAGCATATATAATTATATATAATTATATATTATATATAATTACCTATAATTATACATAATTATACATAATTATATATATGTATATATATATATATATATATTATATACATGTATATATATATATATACATCTATCGATCTATCGATCTATCGATCTTCCGATCTATCTATCTTTCTTCTATATATATATATATATACCTATCTATCTATCTGTTTGTCTTTCGTTCTGTCTGCCCTACGCCCCCAAACCCCCAGACACTAAACCCATACAGATCCTAAAAGGGCAGAGCGCAAGGCCTAACACCCGAGATTCAAATCCGAATACCCTAAACCCCTAACCCTAAATCCCCATACCCTAAATCCCAAACCCCAAATCCTAACGTAGTGCGCTTGACTATGAACTCTAAACCGACCCTAAATAATCACCATACCCTACAACCCAAATCCCAAATCCTAGCAGTGCCCTTGACTCTAGACTCCGGCCACCAGGCGACGTGACGTAGGGCACGGCCCAAAGCAGCGAACCAGGACAGGGCTCTGTGGCGAAGATCATCCTTGAGGCAGGTTAGGGTGTAAGGTTTAGGGTTTAGGGCTCAGGGTTTAGGGTTCAGGATTTAGGGTTTAGGGTTTGAGGCACGGTCTGAGCTTTGAGAGTTTGTCTTCGGGTATGGGGATTTCGGGGATACGAGGTTCTGAGTCTATGCGATCGTGACTCGGGTCCAGGGCTAACGGTCTGTAGGGCTTCAGGCGCTTGGGCTTCGGCCGAAGTCTTGGTGCTCAGAAGAGGCTTGTCATTACTTTTTGCCTAGGACTCCCGGCACTGAAACCTTCAGCCCGACAATGGCCTCATAGTAGACAAAAGCTCGTAATACAATACTACGGTTGATAGTATGACTCCTGCATTACCCGCAATAAGGAATATACCATCATTCGAATAGTTATGGGTGCTTAAGGTAATGCAGGATTTATATCATCAACAGTACTATTGTACACTACAAGACAATGTGACTTAAAATGATACGGTACACTGTGTTTCTTGGGATAGATCACAGGAGCCTTACACAAGCCTCGCACAGGAAGACCAGGGCCCCCCTAGGATCCAAGCACCCATTTCTCAAAGCCCCGACAACTCTTCGTCCCTTCTTTAGGGAGCACGGAGACATCCCGGCATCCCCTGCCCAACACCTTCACAGAAAGAGCCTAAACCTCGCCGAAATCAGGCGGGAAACCCCAGGAGGCAGATAACCACCGTGTAGATGTCGAAGACGGTCGTGAGTAGCCACTCTGACGCCCATTCAGCATCCTGGCCGGGCAGCTCAAGCTTACGGAGTTCCATCCACCACCCCTGGCTCCAAACCCCGATTCTTAAAAAAACTCCAGTCCTAAACTCTGAGAACCCTCGACCCTATATCACAATCATAATTGCCCTTAGATTGCACCGCTTGCGGTAAGTTTTTGCAACCCTTTACGGTACCTTACACCTACCGCAACTTCGGGAGGTTCCTGCTCCGAGCGACTGAGGTCCTGAGGCTGTATGGCTTGGGGCCTATGACCTTCGGATTTTTGGACTTTACTTGGGGCTTTTGGACTTTAGGGTTTCGACGTGAAGGATTCGGGCGCAGCGGTGGAGGTGGCAGCTTCAGGCTTGGTGTTTCAAGTTTTTGTCCGTATATGATGGTATCTTATGGTATACTAGTACATTCTAGTATAGTATAGTACATTATAGTATATTATAGTACATTATAATATATTATAGTATAATATAGTACATTATAGTATATTCTAATATATTCTGGTATATTATGGTATATTGTAGTATATCATAATAGTGTGGTATAGTATAGTATGGTATAGTATAGTATAGTATAGTATAGTATAGTAAATTATAGTATATTATAGTATATTATAACATATTATAGTATATTATAGTATATTATAGTATATCATAATATATTATAGTATATTACAGTATATTATAGTATCTTATAGTATCTTATAGTATATTATGGTATCTTATAGTATCTTATAGTATCTTAT